AGGCGAAATCTTCGGATCACACAACACCCCTGAAGCTAACCGCCATTTGGCCCAAGCCACTCCAACCCGATGTCCAACATCCGCATCTAACTCCCCATCCGCCTGAATTACTGAGCCAAGATAACGAAACCTGTCTACCTTAGGTACTAGGTGAGAGTCAATCTTGACTTCCACCTCTGATTCTGTATCCCGGCCACTGAAACGACATTCCATGTATTCAGTCTTGTTCCTACTTATTCTGAATCCTTTAGTCTCAAGGGCAAGGCGCCATAATTCCAACTTATTGTTTAGTCCCTCACGCGTGTCGTCGATAAGCACAATATCATCCGCGAAAAGCATGCACCATGGGACCTCGTCTTGAACACCTTGAGTTAGGACGTCCATCACCAAGGCGAACAAAAAAGGGCTAAGAGCAGACCCTTGGTGCAACCCCATCCCTACCGAGAAGGAATCTGAGACGCCCCCGGAAGTCCTTACCTTGGTCATAGCCCCATCGTACATATCCTTGATCGCGCGAGTGTACACGATGGGCACTCCTCTCGCCTCAAGGTACCCAAACAAGAAAAATTGTTTTCTATCTTATTTTCTTTTTCTTTTCTCTTACAAATTCCTTGAACCAAACATAGAGTTAGAAAGGATGAAGAGAAAAACCTCGGTGGCATCACGACGGAGTGCTAGCATGCCTGCCTCGACACAAACAGCTTTGAGCTGTGCGCCATTGAAGTCATCTGTGGATCGAGCCAGCTCTTCAAAGTTGACATCTGGGTTAACATTCATCTTCCTAGAGTGGATCTGCCAATTCATGGAATTAATACATATAATCAAAAGCCCCAACACTTGCAAATGATGAAAATCTTGACATAAAGGTTTTTCACCTGCAATATCCGAGCCCTGGCTTCCTCTGTAGGATGAGGAAACTCAATCTTACGGTCCAATCGGCCAGACCTCATCAAAGCCGGATCTAAAATATCAGCCCGATTTGTTGCTGCTATCACCTGAATCCCAACATGAACAGCAGAACATGTTAGTAGTTGTAGTAGAAAATCTTACCATATCTACATAGGCCCATAACAGATGCTGGTACATAGTATATGGCATCATAAAGATCTAGTCACAGTCAATCAACACACCTTTATTCTATCATCACTGCTAAACCCGTCAAGCTGATTCAATAGTTCTAACATAGTTCGTTGGACTTCCCTATCCCCACTGACCTCACTGGATACGATGAACAGAAACTCAGTTAGAGTAAACAGTTAACCAACCAACAGAAAAAATATTGATCAATTTGTTCACCAGGATGAAGATAATAGCAACAACAGTAAAGAGGAACAGTGTTGCATACAGATGATCAAGATCAACTAGAGTACGTAAATAACACACCTATCGAAACGTTTTGTGCCGATAGCATCAATCTCATCAATGAAAATAATGCAAGGGGACTTTTCCTTAGCAAGCTGGAAAGCATCACGAACAAGTTTTGCTCCATCTCCAATGAACATCTACCATTTTGTAACAACATTCTTAGCAATGACATTATAATCAATCAAAGGATACAGAGCCGAGAAAACTTGTTTAAAATCTATGTGCATTCATATCTAAATTATTGAAACTTTCGTTATTAAAGCCCACAAATATTGTACTCTGTATATCAGTATATCAAAAATTCAATCTCTAAGCATTTGATTTTATTCTAGATCAATCCATGTGTCAGAGAAACTGTAAATGAGATGGATGAGATATGCGGAGATAACCCATCGGTCATGTCAACACACACACTGCTTAGCACATTAGTCACTGTCACCTATGGATGTCAATGAGGCGGTGCGGTAGTGCCAGTGGATGTGGGCTAACCCATACAAACACCCACCACTAACCCATTGCCCATGCTGCATATCAATTTTAACATCCCCCACTGCCCCATTGGGCACAAGCCTAAAACATACCCACTCCACCACCTACCTGGGTAGGCGTTACCCATTTTACTGGACCCATTACTTACAATTTTCTTTCTTTTTAAATTACAAATATATACTGTATATTTATCCAACTAATTAAAATAAATTTAAATGTATTGATGAGGGTGCAGAGGGCAGGTAATAGGCAGGAATTGGTAAAGAGCCAACTGAGAGGTCAACCCCAAACCCGTGTGATTCGTTATTACGCATGATGGGTACGCTTTTTTACCCAAACCCACTCCACATCCAGTAAAAAATTCTCATACTCTCCCCAAGTGGAGCGGAGGAGGTATGACACACCATTAACTGCCCAGCTTCCATCCCTATCGTCACCATTAAAATAGTTCAATGCTAAGATAAAACTGAATATTGGGATCATTGTTCTGCTAAAAGTAACCCTTACCATGCATAACTTGTGCCATTGCAGACAGACAACCACAAAAATGATTTTCAAAATAGATGCCATTACTTATAGCTAAAAAACCCATTTGTAAGCCTATTTTGTAGCAAAACAAAGGAAATGATATGGATCAATGAGATGTAAGATTGCAACAAAATCTAATACCTGTACTAGTTGGGGACCTGCTAGCTTGAGAAAAGTAGCCTTTGTCTGAGCCGCACAGGCACGGGCCATTAAAGTTTTTCCAGTCCCGGGAGGTCCATAAAGAAGAACACCTTTTGGTGGGCGAATTCCTAATTTCTGAAATCGCTCTTTGTGTGTCATAGGCAAAACAATTGCCTCGACTAGTTCTTGGATCTGCAAACGTTCCCAGGAGAACAATATTTAAGAGGATCTACACATCACATGCTAAGCATAACCTAAGACAAAACTGAAGGCTGATTTGTTATGTGAACAAATGAGAATAACATGCCTGTTTCTCAAGGCCTCCAATATCATTGTAATCCTCTGTTGGTTTTTCATCAACTTCCATTGCCTTAACCCGAGAATCAAACTCAGATGGCAAAGTATCCAAGATCAAATAGCTATCTTTGTTCACACCAACCAAATCACCAGGTTTCAATTTGTCGGGATCAACAAGACCAACGACAGGCAGGAAGATAGTCTACAATTGGGAACAACAATATCAATAGTAATAGAAGACAGCAGAAACTGAATAACACTTCAACAAGCAAGAACGCCAAGTAAAGCATGAAAATATAATCATAGAACAGTGGAAAGAGCATGCAACATTACCTGACGAGTTGAAGTTTTTAGTACAACACACTTTCCCTTTCTTTGTGAGTCGAGATCAATATTTGCTCCATCCTCCTCACCATCTTCCTCAGGGTTCATTTCTAAAATCTGACAATGAGTGAATTTAGTTCACATCAAAATTCAAAAGAGAGACCCCATCAATATTTACCAATTCTGTATTTTATTTGAAGATCATTTAAATGATTGATAGAAAATAAAGTTTTTTCCTTAAGCGATCTAATTCTAATCATATGAAGTATGGGCATTTCTTCAAAGGCCACATGAAATCCATCACCCGGAAACTGTCTACTCTTTAAGAGTAAGGAGGAAATAATGAAGGCGATGTCACACTGTCACCAAGCAGCTTCTATTACTCATAAATAAATATAGAACAAAGATGTATAGTAGCACATGCCTATCAACTAGCATCCATTCACAACTATCTTTTTCTCTGCCTTAAGTTGCACAAATAGTATGTTGTTAGATCACTTATTAGTTATCACTTTTTCTAAGGAATAAAAAATTTTCCTTGTTTAGTCTTGTAAATTAGTTACTGAATGATCAGGATGCAGAGATATAGTTAAACTCTAAATGGGGTTTAACATGTATGAGTAGCAAAACACATCCCACTTTATGAAAACCAAACTTCACACCTGGTATTCTCAGAAGAACCCCAATATCTGTAAGGTCCCAAAAGTAAACTCCATCCCATGATAGATATATACTACATACGTAAATACACTGTTCCGGGAACATTACATTTTCTAACTTTTAAAAAATAAAACTACACATACAATTTCAAGATTCTTGGATTGTAGCACAAACAAAAGTACAAAACATTTCTTTATATGTAATCATACTTATTTAAGTCAGACTAAACAAAAGCTTCAGCCTTTAACCACAGGACATCAAAGACACAACCTAAGTATTGAGTTTTGACATAACATCCAAACAGAGGGAGAAAAAGATGAATCAATATAAGGTTTCAAATGTCTAATTGTAAAATTAAAACATTCGGCAACTATAATCTTTGAAACAACCAATTCAACAAAACCGCACATTTTTCCCACAAAGGATGTAACTACTCGCCTCGACTATGTTTCCTACTAAGTAAGGAAGCTGTTTGTTGAGTTTGATTTTCTCCTGATTCTCCTTGATCTTCTCCTTGAACGAATCCAGTTCTAGATTCGATCTTTGCAGCTCTTCCTGAACTCCACCAATACCAAACGTCAAATCACAGAACAAATTGGAAGAGGAAAACACGAATCCAATAAAAAAAACCCTCAAAATTTCAATACACAAACCTTCTGAATTCGGATTTGGTTGTCGAGCAGCCGCGAATCCCTAATAACATCTTCAGTTGACATAGAAGCGAGCTGGTCGTCCTCGAAACTGCCGTCCTCCATCATGGCGGTTGCCATCTCCGATTAAGAGGAAAGAGATGCACAGAACAGACCCGATCCGATTGGAAGATTTGAAGGCGAGGAAACTTGGTGAGTACTCCCTAGTTGCGATACTCTCCTTACTACCCGGAGTAATTTACTTACTCCTTCCGGTAATTTTATTCTTCCCAGCAGTTTCTAAAATGGATTAAGGGGCGGTTTGTTTCAGTCTGGTTCAGATGTCTCAATAATTCAGAACTTAATGGTTCAGACTGTTTGTTTCAGCCTCTTAATGGTTCAGATGTCTGAATGGTTAAGATATTTGCCTCTGAATGGTTAAGTATTATAAATAGTCTGAATGGTTAAGAGCTCTTATCTGAATTGATTAGACATTTGTCTCTGAATAGTTAAGCAATATACTAGCTCTTAATGGTTCAGACCTCTTACTGGTTCAGCACTTAATGGTTCAGACTTCTTACTGGTTCAGCACTTATCTATTCAGAAGTTGCCAAACAGCCCCTAAGTCATGTCTACCCTAAAATTTATACCTCAATTTGTACCCCGCAAGTTTGCACCAACATTTTGTGTTGGTGTAAAACGAATTTTTGTTAACGCACCAACACTTGTGTCGGTGTAAACCATCAAAATATTTGTGCAAAACTGTGGTGTACAAGTAGGGTACATTTTTTGGTGTAATTGTAGCATGGTCTTTCTAAAATAGAGATTATTATTTAGGAAAATGCTAGGGGTGGTGTACCCCAAACATCCCCACCCTCTCCATCACCACAAAAAAAACCAAGAAAAATTCAAAAAAAAAAAATAAAAATAAAAATAAAATAAAATGATTGGTAGAAAGGTGAGTGATGTACATTTGGGGTACACATTTGGTGTACCCCTAGCATATCCCTATTACTTACTATCAACATCTCTTTATATATACTACCTCCGACATAAAGTATTTGTCTAGTTTTGATTTTTGAAAATATTTCATATAATAAATTTAAGAAAGTTACATATCCTTATGGGTTGGGTCTTATTTTTCTTCCATTATTGATGACTGTAAATCGTTCATAGCTCTTTGTGGAGGAGCTTTAATTTCTCTTTTCATTTTGTGTATCACTCCACTGATGTGAGAGCACACAATCTTGCTGGTGCTTCGCATTCGATCTAGAGGAGAGGAGAATGGTTCTTTTCTTGACTTTATTTCCCCATTAATTTAATGTTTTCCTTTGATTGTCGAAAAAAATTAAACCAAAGTTATTGACACATGTAATAGTAACTCACAAGTTTATTTAGAGAGGGAGGGGTACTTAATAGGAGTAAATTTATTTAAGTTTTGTGTTTTTATTAAAATAATTTCAACTTTGGGCCTATTTTGTTGGACAGAAAAGATTTTTATAGGAAAAATTTTAATTTCATTTTCTTCAGTTAGGTTACGTAAGTGATAGGCTAATATTTTCTCTCATCAAATGGAGAACAATTTTTTCATTTCTTAATTTACATGTTAGTAATCCAATTTTCAAATATAATGGGACAAAAGAAACAATATTTCATTAATGTTAATTTAAAAAAACTATTCTCTTCAGTCCTAAAAGCTTTCTTGTTTTTGATTCTTTTGGTCAAACAATGACACTCTTTGACCCTAAATTGTAAGAAAAATATATTTAATTATAATATAAATCCAATATAATTAGACTCATTTTAAGATATGCTTTTGATATATCAAAATTTTAGATTATTTATTTATTTATTTAGATTATGTTTAATTTGTGATCAAATATTGTTATTGTTTCACCAAAAAAGTCAAAACAAGAAATGTTTCTAGAAACGAAAGAGTATTATATTTTATGCATAAAAGTAGAATCAAAATTGAACTCTATCAATCCACTTTTTACCGCCAAAATGGGAAATCTGACGATCCAATTTTAATTTGGATCAATTGGTCTAATCTTGACCACTGAGTATTATGGATTGTCAATTTCATTATAAATTTTAAATTTGATGGACGATTTGCTAGTCCTTCCGTCCGAATTTAATCTCGCCTTCTCCTTTTTATCCATCTGAATACATGTATGTTTGGATAAAAAATATACTACTCCCTCTGTCCAAAACTTTACTCACTTTGTTTGCTCAATTTTACTAGTCATTTCATAAAATAATATAGTCTTGTCACCTCTAGTTTTGTAGAATTTTTCATGTAGTTTATTACTATATACATTTTATTTTAAAATTTTTACTTCTATAATCAATTAAATTGAATTGAAAATAAGTCGGTCAAGCCTCGTAACGCGTAATGAGAAGATCATACATGGACGGAGGGAGTACTTTTTTTCTTCGTCTATATATAACCTTCCCATTTTTCATGTTTAAGCAATTTTTTAATAAGAGTCTTTTGGACAAATCTATCTCATAGTCAACCTTCCTTAAAAATGAAGAAAAATCAAAACTGAAAAATAAACTCCGGATGAAGAGAAGATTTTTTTTTTTGCATTTCATTGCGGCATGTAGTAAAACTAGGCAATACATCATCGGTTGTCATGCCCCACATTTGTAATGTAATACTCCCTCCCAAAAACTATTTTCCCTTCTTTTTTTCTTGTCCCATAAAAAACTTTCATATTTTTATTAAAAAACTACTTTTATCCTTACTAATTCTTAATCTACCTATCACAGCATACTATTTTACCAATAATCTACTTATCATATCTTATTTTCACACATCATATCAAAGATATTTTTAGAAAGCCAACACAAAAATATCTCTCTTAAATTTTTTAAAAAGTCAAAATGAGAACATCTTTATAGGACGGAGGAAGTAGAAGAATATAATCCATTTGACAAAAGGGCAGGTCTACATAGTGTCTAAAGAGAAGCATACAAAAGGGGAAATTTCATTTTAGCACCAACATAGAACACACTTTCAATCTCTATTTCTAGCTCCCAATGACTTCATCATCAAATCACTTGTCTCTGATGTAGCTGCATCAACTAATCAGGTTTCACACTTCTGATGACTCAGCCAATGACAGCAAAGAAAACAGAAAAAAGAAACTGTACTAAGCTTATAGCCCAGCTGCACTTTTTTTTGACAAAAAAAACATGCCAAAAATACAATGTAATGACTAAACCTAGATGGAAGGCAACAACAACATTACCCCAGTGCCTCAATGGCTCCCGCCTATTGCGGGGTAAAGGGAGTCCGATGTACACAGTATGACCCCTATGTTTAAAACATAGAGCGGCTGTTTCCAAATGACCCATGATGAGCGTCAAAGTTGCATTGACTAACTGATACTTCACATTGCAAGAAGCGCAGACAGTTTAAAGAGCTAATCTGCTTTATTTCATCATACCCCCAAAGCCAAAAAATAGTGAATCTTTGGCTCCATAGGGGAATGGAAATGTAAACCTAGATGGAGGCACCATGCAATAGTCCTTTTGCACTATTTTGTATGGACACTAATTGCTAGCTTTATCCAAGAAAGGCAAAGTTAAAACAAGTGTAGCACATTCTGAGCTTGCATGGGACAATACGACATCAATGCAGATAACATCATATAACTCCAATATATAGATATAATATGAAGAATGGTTTTAAAAGACAATCAATTAAACGGTTTTTTAAGTCATGACAAGGCGAAACTACAAACAACGTTATTCAATAAAGCATGTTGTCTCATTCCTTTGAGTATCTAAGAGTTCCTGTCTGTAAAATGAAGTTGAGAAAAGTGAAAAGTGTATAAACAAAGCATTTACATAATACATAGTACCAATTAAAAACAAAATTGTTTAATTCGAAACCGAACATGCTAAAGGAAGATGAAAGGGCGTACCATTTCTTTCTAACGAATGAAACTGTTGACTGTTTTTTCTGTACGCAAACCTGTAAACAGAAGGGCACAGATTGGAAACCTATTTCTTCAGCAAGAATCATCTGAATTCATGCTTGGAAATCAAGCAAATTGTAAAACAAAAACTATTTGTGATAGAATAATTTCAATTGGCATTGTTTTTTTTTACGATGCAAAAAAGAATCATACTAAAGAACAGATAGGACAACATATAAACAAGAGATGAAAGTAGTGTCATAAAGATCAGTAAATTAAAAAGATTTGATCCTTTGACATCAAAAAAGAGAGCAGACTTTCATAACTACTCCATGTTAAAAAGTTCTACAATTAGATGAATTGAAAAGACTAAAAGAGATGCCTAAATGCCTAATACTATGTTTAATCCTATAGTAAAATAAAATACTCCGTACATGTTTAGACTGCTACATAATCAAAGAGACAAACATCACGGGAAGACTAAAAAAGAGGTTTAATACTATGTTTAAACATATAGTAACATAAAATGGGTGTCTAGACTCCTACAGCCCTACACAATGATAATGATAGCAACAATTAAAACTCAGACCAAGTCACCAAATGAAGTAACAAAAATTCAAGTCAAATTCTTAAGAATCTTGAAATAAAAAGGAGATTCATTTTCCAGAAGCAAGTAAAATGTAAAATAAATCCACATGCAAATATGAATTGAAGTTTGAATGAAACTCAATTTGAAACTTTTAAATCAAGGAGAGAAAACCCGTGTAAATATAGTTGAAGCTTGAATCTAACTCTATTTGAAAAGATCTCTATTAAATACCTGCTAGAAAATAAAAGCACAACTATATGCACTCATCACTTTCCCTTTTTGAAATTTGACAAAAAGTGCACAAAAGATATGGAGAAAAAATAGTACTGTAAAAAAAATCAAATTGTTTGGTCTGATTTGGAGATGAAATATTGTACTTGTTAAAGCCAAACACCACTATATGTAGTTTAAACTCAATCCCTCTAGTTGCAATTTGAATCAAACCAATTGAAAGTACACGGATTCCGAAGAACGAATTGGTAGAACAAAGAGAGAACAAGGAGCTTTACCCGTAGACTGAAAAGGAAACAACACTACGGGTAAATTAATAGAATGAAGAAGAAATAAGGGCCTAACGGGGTGGTGGACAGTGAAGAGAGGCCTCAACGTGGGATGGTGAGCAGTGAAGAAGGAAGGAGTGAAGGAGTAATCGTGGGGAGGTGCGGCAGTAGAAAGCAGATAATGGGACAGTGAAGAAACGGAAGAGGATGTAGTGTTAGAGAGACCAAAAAAGAGCCAAGTTAACGGAAA